ATACACTGACGGATCTTCAGACCCGATCTCCAACCACACAGGCTTCGGAGTCCATACCACACAACCACTTATATCCACACAATCTTACCGACTCCCTAACAACCAATCTATATTCACGGCCGAACTTATGGGCATGGCCTCAGCCCTGCATAACCAACAATCTAAAAACAACAATAAAATCCTAATTCTCACCGACTCTCTTAGTGGACTACAAGCCCTCCAAAACAAAAATACCAAAAAACAACCTAACTTAATAAACCAAATACTTAAAAGCTCCAACGACCTAACAAAAGCAGGCAAACAAATAACCTTCTTGTGGATCCCCACCCACGTAGAAATTTACGGCAACGAAAGCGCCGATAAAGCAGCTAAATTATCTCTTAAAATACCAGAAATAAGCCTAAACCTACCCATCTCAAAATCAGAAATTAAAAGTGTAAACAAAACAAAAAATAACCAAAAAATGGCATAATCAATATCAAAACTCAAATAGCCAAATCAAAAAAGTGCTCAGAAAACCACTAGCCAAACCTAAAATCCTACACCCCTCTAAAGAAATAGACAGATTAATTAAAAAACTCCAAACAGGACACACGAACCTAAATAACCACCTAAAAAAACTTAAAAGACACACCACAGGCAACTGCCCCCACTGAAAACAACCCGAAACCACAGAACATGCACTCATCTACTGCACCCACTACCAAACACACAGAACCACACTACTAACCACCCTCAATCTAAATAAGGTTCCCACTCTAGATAAATACTAAACCCTCAAAATAAACTAGAAAACTTCAAGGCCCTAGGTGTATTCCTAATCAAAACAGACCTAATTAAGCGCATCTAAAAACTAATTAATCTACCAATCCAAAACCCAATAAACATACAAACACCCACCTCACCCGGCTCCCTTAGTTCCCTCCTCCACCCACCTCGGCATTTATTCCAAATTTAAAAATTCCCAAAATTCAATATAAGCAACCCCTAAAAGCCCCCTCTTGTGTTGCACACACCACTTTCACCCTTCTCGGAATACACTAAATGGTCTGGCCAGGCCCGTGTGCGAAATACGCTGCAGTCGGAAAGCGCACGTTAAATCTTCTATATCAGTCAGTAGTTGTCTCAGCACTACACAATCAGCAATCTAAAAAACAACAAAAAATCCTCATCCTAACCGACTCCCTCAGTGGACGACAAGCCCTCAAAAATAAAAACACTAAAAACCACCCCAAACTAATCAATCAAATACTCAATAGCTCAAACAACTTAACCAGGGCAGGTAAACAGATAGAGTTCATTTGGACCCCCACCCACGTAGGAATCTTTGGAAATGAAAAGGCAGATAAAGCAGCAAAATTATCCCTTTAACTCCCAGAAATAAGCTTAAACTTACCCAGCTCAAAATCAGAAATCAAAAGTCTCACTAAACAAAAAATCAACAAAAAATGGCAAAATATATACCAAAACTTAAATAGCCAAATCAGGAAAGTACTAAAAAAAACCCTAAATAAACCAAAAATACTAAACCCATCCAAAAAAATCGACAGAATAATTACTAAACTACAAATAGGCCACACCAAACTAAATAATCACCGTAAAATAGCTAATCTACACACAACAGGAAACTGCCCACATGGCAAACAACAAGAAACACCAGAACACGTACTCATTCACTGCACACACTACCAAACATACCGAACAACACTACAGACCACCCTAAATCTTAAAACCAGACTTACACTAGAATCAATCCTAAATCCACAAAAGAAATTAGAAAAATTCAAAGACTTAGGTTTATACCTAATTAAAACAGAACTAATTAGTCGCATTTAAACCCCAAATAAAATCATAAAACCAAAACTACCTTATCTAACAACCACCCAACACACACAGCTCCCTTAGTTCGTGCCCCACCCACTCTTGGCATTCTTTCCAAATCTCAAAATTTCAAAATTACTATATAAGCAGCCCCTAAAGCCCCTAATTCATAGTCTTTTTATTGTTCAAATTACTGATAAAAGATATTTTAACTTGTTCCTTCTAACCATATTTCCAAACAATTCCAAACCATTCCAAGTCATTCCAAACATTTCCAGTGTTGGAAATATGTTTGGAAATGTTGCCATTCCAATTTTGGATTTTCTGGAAAGATCGATCTTTCCAAACTTTGGAAAGTTTGGAATGAGCGATCTTTCCAAAGCATTCTAACGTTCATTCCAAATTGGAATGGACGCTATTTGGTCTTGTGATAATAAGGTTGCACAGTGGCTTTATGATCATTTTGAGTGTGAACTTTGTGAGTGAAAAAACTTCTTCAAGAGAAACATTGCATCACTTGTTCAATTCAGCAGTATTAGGTAGTAGTAGTGGGTCTGGTTCCTTTTCATTGCTGAGATCAAGATCCAGAAACGTAGCATTGAAAAAGCATAGGAAAAGTTTGGAAAATAAGCAGTAAAGTTTGAAAACGTTCCCATTACTTGAACAGATGCAACTTATTGACAACATGAAAGCACAGGCTGATGTGACCGTAGTTCCGACTAAGTTTCAAACAAATGGGTTAGTGTTTGAAATTCACAAATTTGCCGCTGGAAACTGTCAAATGTTTGCTAAATGGGTTGGACAGGTTTTTGATGTTCCCTTTCAGCAGCTTAATTTTAATGCCTTAATGAGTAAGTGCCACTGAATACAGCAAGTAGATAAAAAGAAGAAAGGACAAGTTAAGGAGAAATACAGAGCTGAGCATTTCATTGTGCCAGTACAAACTCCGGTACCTAAGAGAGAACCAAGTCAGGTTATGGCATTGCAAGCCCTTGAACATGAAGTTAATAGCCTGAAGGATGAAGTAAGTAAGTTAAACGCACAAATGCAAAACAAGAAGGAAAAAATGATATCTCTAGAAATGGAAAATTACAATTTGAAAAGAAAATTAAAAAGAGCCACTGATGAATTTGCTGTAAAGACACAATAATTGGAAACCCTTAAGTCAAATATGAGAGGAAAATATTTCCACCTTCAATCTTCTGCATTCCTATAATGACAGGCACAGTTGATGCTGTAATAGAAACGGTGCCTGGAATCTGAGATGTGTCATAAGTTTTTTTCTATTCCCAAAATTCAGTTCAGATGAAAATGCACCAAGAGTGGTGGCCATGGATTACTACTGTTATGTTAAATTAATATTATGGTTTAAATCAAATAAACATTTTCTTAAAATGTTACCCCTTTTCATTTGTTGCCTTTTTTTAGACCAAAATGAAAATTTTGGCTGTCAACGGCAGTGTCAAAAAGAGCTTTTCTGAGAGTTAATCAGACAAGTGGGAGAAAAACCATCCTATGATATGTATTTCTGAAGGATTTCTGAAGTTTAATCAGTGATTTGTTAACACAATATCAAAATTCTAAATTTGACTGAGCATTGCTACCATATGAAACGAAAGGTCAACTCATGGAGAAAGTTCGGCTGAATAAGAAACCAGTAAAGTACAAGACATGTGCTGGCGGCACAACACGGTTATTTTGTCTCATGTACGCCAGTCAGACATGGCTAAGTGTAACGGGTTCGTCGCAGACATAACATAATATTCAAAAGTACAGATTCATATACATCATCGGCGGAGATATATGCTACCTCAAGAAACCATCTGTAGAACAACAAATACTTCTGGATTCCAAAACCGCAAACTTCCAATACTCATCCTGTTTCATAGCTCTTAACTAGTCCATCATGTTTCCAAGCAAATATAATGCAGTACATATCCTAAATTGCTACCCCATGAATGCATGTCAATTAAGTACAATAACAGCAATATTTTGAGACCACCCCTAACTTGGTGACATTAGCACCTGGGAGAATGCACAGGTCATCACCTCGGGACAGGTGTAAGGTAATTACCTCAAGTTATAGGCCATTTCATACATGCATGACAACACTCGAATATTTTGTAAGTTTATCATCATTTTACCTGTAAAAGTACATTTTAAGGGTAATCACAATGCCAGTTAGGACAGGCTAGATTAGGTCAATTTGAGTTATTTTGATATATGCTCTTTTCATATTCATATGACTCATATATGTTACATGAAGCCAGAAAAGCAGTTTTCTAGCATTTCCAACAGTACTCTAGGTGTCAGGTTTTACTGGGAAGAGCTAGGAGCTAGGTGTTCGGTGTTACTGGGAAGAGTTAGGTGTTGGGTGTTGCTTGGAAGAGCTAGGTGTTGGATGTTAATGAGAAGAGCTAGGTGTTGGGTTTTGCTTGAAAGGGTTAGGTCTGGGGTGTTACAGGGAAGAGCTAGGTCCTGGGTGCTACTGGGAAGAGTTAGGTGTTGGTTGTGAATGAGAAGAGTTGGGTTTTGCTTGGAAGGGCTAGGTCTGGGGTGTTACTGGGAAGAGCTAGGTGTTGGAAGTTACTGAGAAGAGGTGATATGAAATGGGGTTTGACGTCTCATCTAAGACTATTGCACTTATATAGCGACGTGCATGCACGTGTGCGTGCGTTTGTGTTTTAGCCCCTTAATATTGAGTGCCAGACAAGTATCATCTTTTAACATCTTTTGGTATGATGCGGCCGGGGATTGAACCCCTGACCTTCTGCTCTCTACCACTAGAACACGGAGGCAGTTGTTACTGAGAAGAACTTGGTATGGTAAGGCAGCAGAAAATTCAGAAATACTTTAGATGACAAACCAGATTACCCCATTATCATCTTTGCCTTCTGCATGTTAATGCATGGTTTCTATTCTTAGTGGTCATATTCAAATAACACGAAGAAAAGGCTCTCTTCTAATTGTACTGGAAATAGAGTATGCCCCACAATCTCAGCTAGTAGTTTTTCTTCAGTTTTTCTTCAAAATAGTTTTACCCTTTGACAGGTCGCCTCACCACTGGTCAGAAAGACAATTAAGCAAATCATGACACACTGCATGTCATCTTTAAGGAAAAAGAAACATTTTCCAATTCAATTTTCCTAAAATGAATCTTATAACATAACAGATATAACCTTCTGGTTCTCAGACACCATCCACTTCTTGATGTTGGGATGATCATTAAGACACACATGACCACATCTGATGGTGGGTGTCGCCAGATTGATGACATGACCCTGGATGTGTGGGGGACAATCCTGCAGTGGACAAGGAGGCCCCAGAATGTAATGGAGGTCAGGGGGCGCCACATGTGCCAGCAGCTGCTGCAACACCTGCATGACCACAATCTCCTTCCCCGACAGACTGCCCCTGAAACACACAGCTGCAGATATACCGATGTCTTCAATGCTGAGTCAACAGTAGGGGAAACATTGGGGGAGAAGATGCATTGCTCTACTTGTGGCAAGAGTAAAGCTGATGCAACACAGATACTGTATCAACATAATATTAAAGGGAAACAATCATAATGTTTGGATGAAATCAGGATCGATTTATTGGACAACATCACACCATACAAGAGTCCTTATATCTACGACCACACACCATAACATTGTGCTTTTATAAACCACCACGCCATACAACTGGTTAATTTTTATATCTACTACCACACTACATAACTGTGCTTACATCTACCATGACATGCAAAAAATGAAATTTGCAATGAAACATCACATGATGATTTACCATTAAAATTGTACTTCCTGTTATGCTTGGCATTGCTCTACATGCAGATATCAAACAATAGTTATCATTGTGTATAATTCTAAGAATACTACCTCTATTACATCATAGCCACAAATTCCCATTTTGGCAATTATCATACTATAAAATCTTTAGATTTTTCAATAGACTTCCTCTTCACTGCCAATTATCCGAATAGTTTTGAGGTAAACCCTATCCTTTGTCACACTGCATCTACGCATGCGCAAGGCGGGATAACATCACTTCTTTCCAAAAACCTTTATCGACTAGATATAAGATTTATTGGGGAGGTGGGAGGGGCTATTTCCTGATGTAATAGAGGCAGTATTCTTAGAATTAAACACAATGATAACTATTGTTTGATAATTTCAACAAATATCCTACCTCTATAACATCATAGCCAGTATTTACCAGAGGGACAGGTGAGATCTGTCATCTAGTACTCCCAGATAATTGGTAGCAGTGAAGTAAGGGAAAAACATAGAAGAAACAGGGTATAAACTAAAGGCCTAACTTCCTCATTTCACCCTTGGTAAACCTGAAGAAGACTTGGCACTTGTGGCGTCCTTCCTGATATATGACCTCATTAATGATGTTTCTCTCCAGTGAGGTCTTTCATGATGTCACTTCCGGTTTTGAGAACATCTATGACGACACTTTCGGTTCATTCTCTTTGGGACATCAATTGGGACATTTATGACGTCACTTTGGGTTCTGAGGTTATCTATGACGTCACTTCCTGTTAATCCTTCATTGTGACGTAGACCAATACTTGTTGCTCTATAGCCAACAGCATACATACTGATCTCACTTCAGGTATGATAATGACTTACATTTCCACTGATGACATGTTTCCCATTATATATTGGTGCTAAAACATATTCTTTACATCAATTCCAGTTCTGAAGTCTTCCATGACAACACCTCCGGTAGTTATACATGTTACGCCAAGCGACTAACAATGTAATAAACCTATCACTTTATGATCTATGATCACAAATGTTAGCCAAATGATCCGTCCAATCTATACTCAACAACAAAAGTTCCTGTGACACCAATGTTTTAGTGTATTTTTCAAACAAGTAAAGTCTGGTTTTCAATATTGTAGTACATGTATGGAATCAAGTCACAAAAACGCAACTGCTACAGAAAAGCATGCATTACATGCAAAAGTTGACTTTTATGCAAGCCCCATGTATTTCATTACCCAAGAATGGGTTTAAAACCATGTGCGTAAACGGGATTCCATATGCATTGTTTAGCAACATCTGACGACAACCACTCAGAAAAACAACAAAATTACGCAATTATTCAACATTACGAAATGCCACGCCTGTCCGAAAATGAGCGTCTGCAAGCCATTGGTATGCTTGAAGCAGGATTGAGTCAACGTGATGTTGCAAGACAATTTAACATCCACAGAAACACCGTTGGCAACGTTGGCAACAGACGAATGCAGTCAGAGACCATCCTCGGAGTTGCAGGCCACGTGTAACCAATAATCGACAAGACAACTGGATTCGAACAACACACCTACGAAATCAATTCCAGCCAGCAACAGTGACTGGAAGAAGCATCCCTGGCCTTCGACGAATATCTTCACAAACCGTACATCGTCGCCTCAGATGTGCAGGGATTGTTGCAAGAAGACCCGCCAGACGTCCCATTTTGACAGGAAACCACCGTCAAGCACGTCTACAGTGGTGCAGACAGCGGCTACGCTGGACGGCCATGCAGTGGGGACAAGTTCTATTCACTGACGAGTCTAGTTTTCACCTCAGCAAGTGTACCGACGTCGAGGTAAACGTTAAGTCAATCATTGTGTCATGGAAGAAGATCAGTTCAGGGGCGGCAGTGTTATGGTATGGGGTGGGATTACAGCAAGGCAGAGGACCCGTTTGATAGTGGTAGAGGGAAATCTCAATGGACAGCGCTACCGCAATGAGATCATCGGCCCTGTTGTTCTACCATTTTTGCGTCGTCATGGCCCAGACATTACCTTTCAACATGACAACGCCCGGCCTCATATTGCTCGACTTGTTCAGGATTCTCTTCAACAAAACAACGTGAATGTCATCCCCTGGCCGGCTCGCTCCCCTGAACTCTCACCAATTGAGCACATGTGGGATGAGATGGATCGGCGCCTTCGACATCAACCATGTGTTCCAGACACTCCAGGACCTTCGAAACATGCTCCAGCAGATATGGACAGATATCCCACAGGACTTTGTGCGTCACCTGGTCCATTCCATGAGACGAAGATGTGTTGCTTGCATCGCAACCAGAGGTGGACACACACGCTATTGATTTGTAAATTGACATTTTGGTATGTTCATGTTTTTTTTTGAAATTTGAAAGAACTTTTGTTGTTCAGTATAGTTGACAGTGTCAAAGCTAACTTACCTTAATTTGTGGCATTTCTGGGATCTCTCCCTCTCACACACACACAACACAACACTCTTGCAGCTGTAGCTAATAGGAAGGCTGTCATTTTAGAAGCTGTCAAAAATGTAGCCTCTGCCATTGGCATATATGGTGCTTCCTTCAAGGCAGACAGTACATTGGATAAATTCCATTTTGGGAATGTGTGTGGGATTTTTTTTATCTTCCATGAAAACGATTTCAAGAATCGATTTAAGACTGGGTGAGATCCTATGGATAGACCATCATGTTGTAGAACTGAAGCCTGTGCTGATCTATAGCCTTCAATTGTACCATGTCTAAACCTTTTCTCATTCCCCAGGTGAAGTAGAAAATCAGCCACTGTAGGAATTGTTATATTTTCGTCATGCAAACCTCTTGCTATTCGCTACTTGCAGAACTTTCTCCATCTGACGTTATAGATAGCTGAGGAAGCTGGTCTCCATGAGCTAGCCACCGCTTCTGATGCTGATTAAGAGGAACCGGAAACTTGCATCTTTGTCGCGATAGTTTCCAGGTGTGAAGGTGGAGATTTGTCAGGCTGCCATAAAATATGTCTGATTTTGGTTGGCGGAGGAGATTGTCACATTCTGGTAGTTTTAGAGGCTCTTCTATGAGTAGAGGAATCAGTCTTGGAAACCACGCTCTGTTTGGCCACGCTGTGGCTATCAGAATTATCATGTAATCTGTGTTCTCGATCTTCCTGATTACTCCGTCCAGGACAGACCAAGGAGGAAAGACGTAGGCGAACATCCCCTGCCAACTCATGGATAGGGCGTCGACCTGGAGGGCTAACAAATCTGGGACTGGGCTGACGTAAACAGGAAGTCGATGGTTTAGGCATGTCGCAAACAGATCCAGATGAGAGGTATCCCACGTAGAGGTGATCCACTTGAATACCTCAGGATGGAGAGTCCATTCCATTGTGTTTCCGGGATAGGCAGTCTGCAAGTGTGTTCACTTTCCCCGTTATGTGTCGTCCTTCTATCCTGCAACTCACTGAGTCTGCCAAGGCAAATAAAAGCATAACTTCTCTCAACAAAAGTGCTGATCTCGTGCCCCCTTGATGTTGTATGTACAAAACCACAGTGGTGTTGTCTGTAGCAATCAGTACCGACGAGTGGTGTAGTAGATGAGACCATGCCTTGATTGCTTGGATAATAGCTCTCATTTCATGACAATTTATGTCTTTGTCTTGATTTGACCACATCCCCTGGAGGTCGTCCATATGCGCGCCCCAACCTTCCCCTGATGCGTCTGTATATAGACGGTGTAACGGTGGGGGGAACATGAGAGGGATGCCTGGCATGACATTTTGACGCAGAAGCCACCATTGTAGCTGGCTGTGAGGAGGTTGTATTAAGTCTTCCAGGTCCATATTACTGGTGCTGTTCATCCAAGTTTGTGGTGGACGTAACTGAAGTCTCCCTCTGTAAGAAAGATCTTGAGAGTGATGTCAGGGTACCTAGGCAAGACTTCCACCAACGACGTGACCTGCTGGGTTGGTTGAGAGCACTCTGAATCTTCTTTATAGCTCTTAGATATCTGTCCTCTGGTTGTAGTAAAATGCCTTTTGAAAGTTGATGTCCTGAGTTGGTATTAATTCCGACTTGACGGGATGTACCAGGAAACCCAAATGAGATAGGAGTTGAATAAGAAATATTGCATTCTGCTTCATCTGCAATAACCTTGATCGTCTGAGAGGAAATAGTCTATATAGCCATATAAGATTTAGATGAGCGAAGCCGATAATAGGGGAGACCATAGCGCTACTGATATTCCGAATGGTAGCACGTTGAATTCAAACCTTAGCCTGTTTACTGCAAAGTGTGGGTAGGGTCAACAACTCGTTAAATAGGTAGTAGGCAGGGAGGCATCCTGAAGGTCCAGACTGAGAAGCCAATCTCCTTGTTTGAGGGAATTGCGTAACCTTTTTACTGATTCCATTTGAAAATTTGGCGGAAGTACTAGGTAGTCTCTGTTGAGTACCTTTAGGTCTATTAGCATGCGCATGTTTGTAGAGTTATTTTTGGGGACCAGGAAAACTGGAGAGTAAAAACCTCTTGTAGTGTCTGACTTCTGTCAGACGCTGATGGCCCCTTTGTCTAGTAGTTCTCGTATAGCCAAAGTTGCGGCTGCTATCTTGGCTCCTACTAGATGAAAACGTCGTCCTTTGGGGTGGACTACAAGCTCCGGACACTGTTGAATGAATTTTAAGATGAATTTCAGTAATCGGTAATTAAGGTCCAGTAACATAGCAAGGTCGACAGGATTTGGCTGAGAGTTTCTTGGATGTAGAGAGTCACGAACGGCGGCTACCTCTACCTCTGCTTCTTTGGGTCTCCCTCGGCTTGGTCTGGAAGGGGAGGAACTTTTCCAAGCAGAGGCACGAAAAGATTCCCGACATAACATGTCTTCGTTTTGGCGGATCCGTGTGACTCCGTATCGGCTGACCGCTTCGCATTGAACTTCGATGCCAAGGAGATAGTGGGGTTTTGGAATCTCTGATCAGTGGTGCGTGAAATCTCATCAATCACAGAAGTTAGTCTGCCGTTGAAGAACTGGGGGGCCAATATCGACTGAGACATCAAACTTCGTTTTAGTGGCTCGGAGATATTGTGTCTGACCTGTTGAATAAGATGATTACGTTTAGTAAGCAGGAATTGTGTGGACATTCATACCTGTGCAGCTTGAAGATCTTCGTGCATCTTCAAAATGCTATCCAGCGTACTATGAATGTAACCAACTTATTCCAAGTTCATTTCAACTTTAGTGTCACAAGGTTGGCCAGCAAATTCCTCACAGTTTACAGGAGGAAGTACATGTCTGATGCCTGCTGCAAACCAGTTCATATACATGCTAATGTTTATCATCTGCTTATCAACATTGTCCAATTCTTTTAATTTGTTCATGTCAACATTCATCCTTAAGTTGTCTGACCAGGTCAAAGTATTCCTTATCAATGGTAGGGAACGTACAATTGTGAATTTTACAGCATTGTCTCCCCTGGGGTGAAGGTATGCTTAAACTTCTGCTGGTAGAAGCATTTAATTCCGCATTCATTTTCAGATAATGACGGATAAGGTAGTGTATGAAAACCTTCCCTCTTTTCTACAGAATTTTCATAACCCCCCTATTCAATAAGCACCGGATCCTCTCCCTCATTGCTTGATGGCTTGACAGATGGGATCAAATGATAGATTTCATAAATGATATCTTTAAATGAGTAGTCATTTGGTTTGAAAGTGAGAGTACTATTAGATTCCTCATGAGAAGCACCTGTAAAATCCTCTGTGTTGTACCCCCTGGGCTTTTGCCACTCTATGAGACAACATCACGTGGCGTATGCTTATCTCTCTGCTGCAATTCCTGGCTCGAGCTGCACAAGGATTGTGCTTTATAACCGTAATAGCTAGGTGATGCATAACTGTCCGAGCTATAGACGCGGTTATCACATGTGAGTGTGGCTGAGGGAGCAAGCTTTTTGTACTGGGAACCTTTAGTACGATTTTTCTCAATCTTGGGCGTGTTGATATGCCCGGCTAGAAGAATGGTGTTTATTTTTGTGAGACTCCCGTGATACATGTTTCTTTTCTCAAGAAGCACAGGGTGAGGTAGGGCTATAGTGACTACTCTCCCTAGATACAGCGCGGCTTTGGTCCTGTGAGCTTTCTGACCTGTGACATGTATGTGAATGGGAATTTTCTTTACCATCTGAATCATGTGATCTAGATCTGGTCATATCCTTCAGATTTGCATGTTGTTTTAGCTCATTTATATCCTGTGATGTAGCCTGGAAACGTTTGTCAAACATTTTGTACATGGTTGTGGTCAATGATTGAGACCATTCACTCATACTCAAAGGGGAGAACAGAATAGGTTTGGGCTCGAATGTTTCTTTTAAAACCATGAGTGACCAAACTACCCGAAGTACCCGGCATAAGGCTGTGGTCCCAAGACCAGATGCTTGCTGTACAAGGTGACTATGCTTGTCGTAAGAGGCTATCGGGATTGGTTGGTCAGGTTCGCTGACTTGGTTGATGCATGTCATCGATCCCAATTGTGTGGATCAGTGCTCATGATATTAATCACTAGATTGTCTGGTCCAGACTCGATTATTTACAGACCGCCATCATAAAGCTGGAATATTGCTGAGTGCAGCGTAAAACAAGAAACCAACCAACCAACCCAAGACCAGAGCTGGATGCCTGCTCCTTAGTTTTGGGCGGGTGGGTTGAGTAACATGATTTTCCCTCAATAGGAAAAAACGGGTTCTCTTTATGCAGCACCCCTTTGGGTGTTTCTTTGAGGTCAGTTTACCTGAGAGACAACACTTTTCCACATTTGATTTAGATTTAGTTTTGGTTTTGGGTGAAAACGATGTCGTTATTTTTGTAAAATGATCTGGTCTTCCTCTTGGATTTAGACTTAGGACAGGTTAGTGCTTTATAGAGCTTGTCAAATTTATCTTTTGACAAGTCCTTCCAATATGTGCATCTCGATCTTGGATTTGTCAACATGGTGTTTCTGCTTTTATGTGCTTAAGGTTACATGTCCACAGCCACCGCTAACACATACCCACAGCCACCACTAACACACACATACACTGCATACATCAACACCAACACATACACCAACACAAACACATACACCAACACTAACACAAACACATACATCAGCACCAACACATACATCAACACCAACACATACATCAACACTATCACATACACCAACACTAACGCATACATCAACACTAACACATACATCAACACTAACACATACACCAACACCAACACATACACCAACACTAACACATACATCAACACTAACACATACACCAACACCAACACATACACCAACACTAACACATACATCAACACTAACACATACACCAACACCAACACCAACACTAACACATACATCAACACTAACACATACACCAACACCAACACATACACCAACACCAACACCAACACCAACACATACACCAACACTAACACATACACCAACACTAACACATACATCAACACTAACACATACACCAACACAAACACATACATCAACACCAACACATACACCAACACCAACACCAACACATACACCAACACTAACATATACATCAACACTAACACATACACCAACACAAACACATACATCAACACTAACACATACATCAACACTAACACATACACCAACACCAATGCATACATCAACACTATCACATACACCAACACTAACGCATACATCAACACTAACACATACACCAACACCAACACTAACACATACACCAACACTAACACATACATCAACACTAACACATACACCAACACTAACACATACACCAACACCAACGCATACACCGACACTAACACATACATCAACACCAACACATACACCAACACTAACACATACACCAACACCAACACATACACCAACACCAACACTAACACATACACCAACACCAACACTAACACATACACCAACACTAACACATACACCAACACCAACACATACATTAACACATACACCAACACTAACACATACACCAACACTAACACATACATCAACACTAACACATACACCAACACTAACACATACATCAACACTAACACATACATCAACACCAACACCAACACATACACCAACACTAACACATACATCAACACAAACACATACACCAACACCAACACATACATCAACACCAACACATACATCAACACTAACACATACACCAACACTAACACATACACCAACACCAACACATACACCAACACTAACACATACATCAACACTAACACATACACCAACACCAACACATACACCAACACTAACACATACATCAACACTAACACATACACCAACACCAACACATACACCAACACTAACACATACATCAACACCAACACATACACCAACACTAACACATACACCAACACTAACACATACACCAACACCAACACTAACACATACACCAACACTAACACATACACCAACACTAACACATACACCAACACTAACACATACACCAACACTAACACATACATCAACACTAACACATACACCAACACTAACACATACATCAACACCAACACACATCACTTACACATACACCCAGTACTAACCTTTCAACTGTGATCAAAATGGTATCCTTCAGGTTGTCAAATAAAAGCTTTATTGACAGACTCCTGAGACTGATGATGCACAGCCCTGATCTCAGGAATTTTACATGCAGACATTCTTTATGCTGTCCAAAAGCAGCCACCAGCCTGTAGAATATTGTCCATGGTGTGGTCCCACCAAACACAACCAGCAGACAGACGTCACTGAGAGTCAACTTGGGGCCACCTGTTGTCAACTCTTCAAGGAAATAGGGGATGAAAATATTTCGATCATTTCCTTCGTAAATTTCTGACAGACCTGAAGCAAAGCATGAAAAGAGCATAAATTGGAATACTAGAGACAGCAAATGACTGAATGTTTCTTGACTATCTGACTTTCATCTGCACCTGGTGATAGGCCAAGCAAGAACTGTCACAACTTACCAGCTACTGGCAGTGTGTCAAGGTAACCCAACATTAGTCAACAGAGGGAATCAGTAGTTTTAACATCATATGAAATTCAAGGTATTGCACCCTGACCTGTTGTATGGTAGCTATACTACATTTACAAAACAGGTTATTATGTATTGAGGGGTGAGAAAATGTATTTGACTGAAATAAAACTTGATGCTGGAACTACTTTAAGTCACCTCAACAACATTATGTATTTAAGGGAAAGATCGTAATGATCAGTGACAAAATACGTAACAAACAGAAGATTTGTCTTTTCATCTCAAACAACATTTTTATCTTATATCGTCACCTGACAAGTTGACATTTTCATTCATGGCTGCACAATTCATAAATCTATCATCAGGCCACTCGATGACGTATACATGATATTTGACAAGGAAGTTTAAATATTCTCCATTCATTAGAATCACATTCTTAAGCAGCATTTACAGAAGTATTCAGCATGGCAAACTTTAGATAAAGATACATCATCTGACTTTCCTTGGATGTCTGGATCATCTAGATCATTTGTTTGTGGCGGTCAAATAAACAATGGGGAAATCAACATCTCTTTTTTCAAAATACACGACCATCTTGTAGCTTGTAACGTGTCATACAAAGTTTCACAGTCAAACTATCAGCATTCTTACTCTTTCACTTCTGAGTAATAATAACACTGAATGAAAGGACATAATGTTCACAAGCCAGAATTAAGTACATGGGTGGATCCTGAGGTGCAGACCCCCCCCCCCCACACACACACACACACACACACACACCCCTCCCTTTTGAAAACCAAATGTAGTATGTTGTCAGCAGTAAAATTATCTAGAGAAACAAATTTTATATTTTAGACCCCTCCCTTTTAAAAGTGCTGGATCTGCCTAAGTAGTACACCACTTAATAATATGAGCGTGCCAATAAGTGAGTATGGTTTTATGCCGCTTTTAGCAATATTCCAGTAACATCATTGCAGGGGACACCAGAAATGAGCACAAAGCTGTGTTCCCTTGGGATTATAGGAACATGAAAGCCAATGGATCTGGTGTGGTAGTGTGGCAGCAAGAACACAAACCTATATCATAGACAATGCCCTGGGTCTTCAGATAGTAGGTGAATCTTTCAACATCGGGTACGATCTCGTGCAGCAGCATGGACAGTTCACTCTGCAGTAACACTCCTCTCGTGGACAGGTTGAACATGAGCTCACCCTCACCAACATCCTTACTGTCAATGCACAGGCGTACTAGGCGATAATACACAGAGATAGGATGCACAAACAAATCTTGTCCTGGGACAGCCTTTGGGGGTCCATTTGACTTTCCTGAAACAAAGACAAGCAGGGTCATCAGCTGATATATCCTACACCAACAGAGCTCAACAGAAGGTCAGAAATGTTTATAATAGAAACCAACATCACCTTAATCATTTGTTTTGTGGAAAATGTCACTTAGATATGGATAACGTGTAACTTAAACATGTGCTTGGATTACATGCAAAAACTGAAGCAGCCCCATACCGACCTTATGCATGTGCATGACCCTTAGGAAACATAATACTATTACTTGCACAACTTATTATGGATAGTTGACAGTAAAGAGTATTTGGCTGAAAATTAAACATTTTTATTGAGTGATGACGAAGTATAGGATTTTTGGCAATGATGTAATAGAGGTTTTCTATTCATAGTAAATTACTTGCATCATGAACCATCCTGACTTCACATCAGGAGACAGCTGACCTCTCTACAAGTATACGACACATCTTGAAATTAACATGACTGCTGACCCCAAAATGCAACTCAATATCAATGCCCCCCCTGCCATCCCTTGTTTACTATTAGATAGAGAAAATGACTTCAATGATGGTTATGCAAGATGTATTCAATCGACCTTTATCCAGTCAAACAGCTAAGAACTAATAAGCACTGTGTACTTCCGCAAAAACACACCAGATGTTCACAACGTAATTTCTCGTTAGTGTTTACATGACTTTCCGCTTTATCCCAAGTTTGTTTCGTATTTCATTCAATAATGTTTGCATTAATTTCAGCAGAATTGTGTGTGAACTGATTGGCAGACCACACCAACTCACAGTTATTTACAGTAACCATGATCAGATTTCTGCTACTGAAGCTTTCAAATGAATCTTAGTTGTCATAAATGACATATTTTGACTGGTTAAAAGTCATATTTGTTGTAGTTTGACTATTGTATGACATTATGTTTTCAGGATCAAAATAGCAAGACCACGGGAAGCCTGAGGTCAAACATAACTGGTCAAACTGTTCCATAATATAAAATATCCATCAACAGTAATCAGCTATACCAAAGTGCTTCGCTTATGGTTATTATTATTCTAAACATATATAACAAAAGCTGCAACTAAAATAACATGATATTGAAATAAATTATTACTGTTAAAATAACAATTTTAGATGCAATTTCTTCCAATCATTGCACCAAAAATGTCTTGCGTTATATTATTGGGAGCTTTTTTAACTGAATCAGCAGTAGATCTGGGAGAACACGTACAGCAGTACAGCTGATTGTTATTTCCTGCTTAGTATATGAGAACATGCACTATTATCTTAATCTATGCATATAAAACAATACCCAGAATAAAGGGTAAGGTCATCACCGGAATAAGAAAAGACAACCGTGATCTACTCAGCGTTTTACGCTTGAGATAGGGAATGTTATTGTTCACCTTTGGGATATTTTGGGCCACATAATCAGAAATCAGCCACACTTCTACGGAGCTTTCGAATTATTTGTATCGGAAATGTTCACTTTGAGTGATCTAGTTGTGCAGTCGTGTACAAACAACTCCCAAAACAGTGCAACAAAATACCCTTCGAAGAGGACACTGATTGCACAACCGGATCATCCCAAGTAGGTCTAGATATCTGTCCAGATAGATTAAACTGACTTCATTTCACCACGCTTATCCGTTTACGTTAAATCAAATTGGAAGTTGCGAAAGTAGTCAGGTGCGTCACGCTCATGTGGGCCCTCGATCTTTTGAACGGTAGTCGAACATTGTAAATGGACATAGCTCGATTATATAATGTCTGTAGAAGCTCAATGCATAACTTATATAGGATGCAAACAATTTGATGCGTGTGACTATCTTGTTTGGTTTAATAAAGTGTTTGTTAATATCCCTCGCTCACATGAGATTGCTTCAGTTCTGCCTTGTAAATGAATGACGTCTCGCGATTTTTTATGAATGAAAAAAGTAGTCCCGGTGTGACAGAGGTCACAGTTATCCAATCAAAACGAATAAAACAAGGTCAACCTTGTACGACACACGTGTGACGTACGGATTTAGTATCTTACCACGTGGGTAATAAAGTACAATAGTAGCTCCTTAAAGTAATGCAAACACTACTAACCCCTAGATAAAGTAGTAATGTAAGTAAGCATAGGGTTTTCTTGTACTGCTTTGTCTTTAGCTGCCAGGTCCCACCATGACTTGGCCAGTGATTGTCCCTTCTATTGTTTCTGTGGCATGTGACCAGATCTTTAGCCTTAAACACTTCAACATTTATCTTCTCTGGCCAATGCTGCATCTCAACTCGGCATGACCATCACAGCACTGCACTGATTGGGGTATGCTGATGTAGATTTCTGTAGCATTTATATTTATCAAAAGAAGCTTAGGATCTGATATATTGGTCTTGTTAACAATGCTTTTATCATTTTAACTACATATTTGCAATTGAGTATAATTTGCAATATCATCCAGTGAAGATAAACGCTGAAACATGCAGGAGAACAATCCATGTCATGTAATTATTTTGTGAATTTCTTTACTTATGCATTGTTATGATTTGGATGTGTATTTTCACCCGTGAAATCTGGGGTAGAATAGGTCTTCAGCTGTAAAAAGAGACAATGCTTGTCTGGGATGAGGTACCGTTCCCGACTTGGACATTCAGTGATGTCAGGTGACCTCACACCTAGAATTATTGAAACCTTCAGCCCGCCTGAAGCTAGACCAGGCTTTGGTATGCTTACTGTCACCGGGAATCAGTGTGTAAGAAATATGTTTAGAATGAAAGCAAAGCAAAAGATCTTGAGAAAAAGTTAGAGATTTGACCCAAAGTATGTCAGTGAAAGAAGTTGAAATTGATGAACTGTACCAATATGGCCAACACAACAACATTAGTGTCTCACACAACACACGGGTACAGTGAAAATTCAGAAACTAAAGAGCAAAACAAATTGATATTTGGTCACAAGATGATGCAAAACCTATCTTAACTGAAGGGTCATCAACCAAAGGATTTCATTTAATTTATTCATCATTATTTAAATACGGGTAAATACTTGTAAGTTTGTTCATTTTATTAACATCCTGAAAGAAGCTGTATAAAATGTTGATATCTCATATCTCATATAAGAAATACACAACTAATGGTCGACGTTTATCGTAAACAAAACAATGCAGGGAGAATAAACCATAGCTAAAATCGAGGCATTATTGTGTGACATGTACAATCAAAGTTCATATATTACAATATAAACTTAGTAAAATCTAAATATGTTTTACATTTGTATACTTATCCTGCATTACTCCTTAATGCATTCACTGCTTACTTACGACAACTAGAAGGACAGCGCTGCGAAGAAATAAAGTTGTTGTTCTCAAGTCCCAATCAGTGGCCTTCCGTCGCTGTCCTGTGACCTTGATGACACCTAAGGTCATCTTCACATCACTGCCTGTCGCCCAAGCTCTTAGAAAAACATACTTTTGAGGTTTCTGAGTGAGTGAGTGAGTGAGTATGGTTTTACGCCGCTTTTAGCAATATTCCAGCAATATCACGGCGGGGGACACCAGAAATGGGCTTCACACATTGTGCCCATGTCGGGAATCGAACCCGGGTCTTCGGCGTGACGAGCGAACGCTTTAACCACTAGGCTACCCGACCGCCCCTGAGGTTTCTGAAGCCAAAGTGGGGAGGCAAGTCTTACGACGGGTGGGCCTTAAACGTAGTAATGCAGGATAAGTATACAAATGTAAAAAATATTTAGATTTTACTAAATTTTTTACTTATCCTGCATTACTCCTTAATGCATCTGTATCGGACAGTTTGGAGGTGGGTAAACTTCCAGCATACAGAAACCTCAATAATTCACACATAATTCTGCAATACGACACCAGCTGGTCGATAAACCGTGAAGCGGAAAAGTTCAGAAAAAAACACCATTACGGTAGGGTTGTTCAAAAATAAAAAAGATTGAACATAGGAATTAAAGAGAAATTCCCTATACACGCTTAGTAATAAAGAAAATAATAGCTATTCAGCTAATTCTTTACTTACTACGTCATAGAGCCGTCGCTGACAAACAAGATTGTCTAATATTCTTCCACTGGCGGCGATTGAGTGACTGCACATGGAAGTTGACTGGCTCTGTATAAGGCGAGTTCATTATTTGCGTCAGGGGTTGGCAACCTGCAGGATAACAACCAGAGGGCCAAACTTCGAACGTCTTCAACATCCTCGAGAGCCCCAACGCGATGGTTATGACTAACGAAAATATGTTTCAACTCTCCAGAAATATCCTTCTGTGATTGTTCCAAAACCACAATTGCCGTGTTGAGCCCTGGTAAGGCTGACACCTTGAGATCTTGTGGGTAATTTGCTCTCGGCGAGTTCCGTTTGGCGATCTCGTAGGCCTGAAGGATTACTGCGCGTAACCATAGAGATATGGTGTTTGCGATTATGCGACTAACTTCGGTCGTGGACGAAGTAAATACGGGTTTCAATGACCGCTTCCTCGAACCATGCCTAGTCTTGGAGCGTCGAATGAAAACTCGAACTGTTCGCACAGATTCCAGGAGAACTTCACCATGTACGATTCCCACAATAGTCGATATAGGTGGGATGGTGAAGGAACGGTCGGGTTGGCCTGGTAGTAGATTTTAGCAATAAAATCCAAGCATAACCCTAGATGTCCCATTCCGTGCGTCCCATGCTCAAAACGGATCCGGGTTGAGTCGATCACATGTAGTTCGCTCACCCATACCGCCATTGCTAATGCCAAGAGAAACCATTGTTTCCTTGGTGAGGTCATGAAATGAGGCAAGCTCCTCACAGCGATAGCCCGTTCGGGGAGCTCTCTATACTATACTATAACGAAGGTGTCACGCGCTGGGAAGGAGCTTGAAAATGAGGATGCAATGAGGGGCTCGAAGGGGGCCCTCGCAAACCTCAAAGTACCAGGTTCAAGTCCCAATCAGGTGGGCAGAACTTGGCCTTCTGATCCTCAAGCCTGAATGAGCATAATATGGCCTGTAGTTCTGTGACCTTAATCA